AATTGTGAAGTTTTTTTAAAAAACATTAACACATTTAAGAAGTAAAAATAAAACGTAATTCTAGTTCAGATTGTAATAGCTATAAAAGAATAACTAGTTTATTGTTGAAAAATATTACATAATAGTATTTTTAAGCAGGTCTTTAAGGTGGTTGATTCTTCCTCTAAGGAACACTAATGGTCATAAAGTTAAAGAACGTTCTGAGGGTTAAGTTTCATTAAACAAACCTGCAGTTTGTGATTCTGATTATAAAAATCTTCCAGCTGTTTAAAAAGTATCTTAATAATATGATCAKTTTGGCATTGGTGATGGTAGATTTGACATAAAACATCCTCAGTTTCAAAGAAAATGAGCTGTGTTTCATGAATGTTTCTAGGTCAAAGTCACAGCTTATGCTTTTAATTACTTTTAAGTTTCTGACAAGTGTTTTTCAAGTAATTATGTTTCAAGATCACAATCTTTCACTCCATGGTTGACATCGACCCACTGAAATTACCACATGAGCACAAAGCTTCCCGTTTGTACGCTTTACTGAGTGCATGGCTTCGCTCGAACAAAAAGGCATCTATTTTACAAAAGTGAATAAATCTCGAAGAAARCTTTTCCGCTGTTCCTGCATTTTCCGTGACCATCGACAACTAACAAAGTTAGAATAAAGACCAGAGAGTAATATTTTAAAGTCATTTCCAGGAGTAGAAAAGAAAATAACTTCCTGAACGGCACTAAATTTGGCAAAGTGGCAGTATGGCAAACTGGGATTTCTGTAGCTCCACAAGGCAAGTTGACTTAAAGTTTTGAGCACCATTAGCTATTGCATCAATTATGAACATTTCAAAATGATTGGTGATCTTGAGCTGGCAATGTTTGTTGTCATGTTAAGCCCTGAGGTTTTCTAATAAATACACATTTCTGAGATGTTTTTGAGTTACCGACTTTTGATCTGGCTTTTTCTGTCTGTAACCCAGAATTTTTAGTTTGAGCCTCTAAATAATTGTACACATACAAAAACTGAAATTGTCACATTTTTAGTATTTAACAAATCTGCTCACTTTTATGACTGTCACATGTACTGGTGATGTATCAGTTTCAAATTATGCCTTTAGGAATTATTATTTTAAATAGACAAATCTAAGCACAGCACCTATAAAAAGTAATATCATATAGAAAATATATAATGGGAAATAAATGCCTACCTAAATAGTCACTGTCCTAGTTCACCTCAGAGTAAGGATTATTAACAAGTACAAGACGAAAGAGATACGAAAGGAGAGTTATGTTAAATCAGTGGTTCACAATTCCGGTCCTCATGACCCAAGTATCCTGCATGTTTTAGTTACAGAGGTTGGACAATGAAACTGAAMCACCTGGTTTTAGACCACAATAATTTATTAGTATGGTGTAGGGCCTCCTTTWGYGGCCAATACAGTGTAAATTTTTCTTGGGAATGACATATCCTGCACAGTGGTCAGGTGGAGGAAAACGTTTCCTRACTCGTTCCTCCAAAACACCCTAAAGTGGCTCAATAATRTTYAGATCTGGATGTTCAACTTCACTTTCATGTTCATCAAACCAATCTTTCACCAGTTTTGCTGTGTGTATTGGTGCATTGTCAGYCTGATACACGGCACCGCCTTCAGGATACAATGTTTGAACCATTGGATGMACATGGTCCTCCAGAATGGTTCGGTAGTCCTTGGCAGTGCCCATCTAGCACAWGTACTGGGCCAAGGGAATGCCATGATATGGCAGCCCAAACCATCACTGATCCACCCCCAAGTTTCCCTCTGGGCATGCAACAGTTTGGGTGGTACGCTTCTTTGGGGCTTCTCCACACCATAACTCTCCCAGATGTGGGGAAAACAGTAAAGGAGGACTCATCAGAGAACAATACATGTTTCACGTTGTCCACAGCCCAAGATTTACRCTCCTTGCACCAYTGAAACCGACGTTTGGCACGAGTGACCAAAGGTTTGGCTATAGCAGCCCRGCCGTGTATATTGACCCTGTGGAGGTCCCAATGGACAGTTCTGGTGGAAAAAGGAGAGTTTAGGTGCACAATTAATTCTGCCGGGATTTGGGCAGCCGTGGTTTTATGTTTTTTGGATACAATTTGGGTTAGCACCCAAACATCCCTTTCTTTTCAGACAGCTTCCTCTTGCCTCCACAGTTAATCYTGTTGGATGTGGTTGGTCCTTCTTGGTRGTATGCTGACATTACCCTGGATACTGTGGCTCTTGATACATCACAAAAACTTGCTGTCTTGGTCACAGATGTACCAGCAAGACGTGCACCAACAATTTGTCCTCTTTTGAACTCTAGTATGTCACCCATAATGTTGTGTGTATTGCAATATTTAGAGCAAAACTATGCTCTTACCCTGCTAATTGAACCTTCACACTCTGCTCTTACTGGTGCAATGTGCAATTAATGAAGACTGGCCACCAGGCTGGTCCAATTTAGCCATGAAACCTCCCACACTAAAATGACAGGTGTTTCAGTTTCAGTATCCACCCCCTGTATTTCCCTGCTTTGTCACACCTGATTTAAATGAATGAGGATTGACATGCTTCTACAGAACTTAAAGACCTGCTGACGAGCAGGGACACAACTATAACATGCAGGATAGTGGGTCATGAGGACCGGAATTGAGAACCACTATGTTAAATAATCTTCAAGACATGGAAGAAAGATAGGACTTTAGTAAATCTACCAAGAGAATGTTGTCTTCATAAACTAAGTGATTTTGCAAGAAGGAGAACACTTAGAGGGGCCACCAAGACACCTGTGACCCTGCTGAAGGCTAATTTAGACTTCAACAAGACCCAAGACAACAAATCTGCCAGGATGAATTTTTGGACATCTTTGTCTTACTGAGTGCTTACAGTCGAGTAGAACACATAATTCCTCACTCTCCCCTCCCACTGTAGCAGACATCACGCACATAGCTAAGCATATAAACGTAGCAGTTCATCAGTCTCAGTGAGCTGGTCTTCGGCACTGTCCATCTTGCTACTAACAAACAGCTTCAGGGAGCGGACAATTTTTCAGTGAAATGACATGCAGAAGAAGCACACGCTGCTCTGCATAAACAAGCACGCCCACAAAGTTCTGATCAGTAACACAACACTACACAGTTTTTATCCTGCAAGACATGGGAATGAAAGTATGAATCAACCCTGAAGGAGCTACAAGCTTCGGCAGGTGAAATGAGAGAGACTGTGCATACGACATCTGCTGTCCAGGGTCTGTCAAAGAGAAAATGTTGAAGAAAACTCATTCATTCTCGACTCGAGTTTCTCTAAATCAGTGGTGTCCTGGGGCCTCATGTATCAATGGTGCGTATGCACAAAAACCTTGCGTACGCCATTTTCCACGCAAAACTCCGGATGTATCAAAACTCAACTGAACGTGGAAAAGTGCGCAGCCCCATGCCAACTCCAGGGCTGGTGTACGCACGTTTCTGTGATTTTGGTTCCATTGGCGACACTTGGAGGTGATTCTGATAAACTGTTCATGATGTGAAAATGATTATTGTTCACAGCWGACACACGTGATTAACAATTATGACATCCACATGGACGCAGTTAAATAAAGGACGTGCAAAGTTGTGCCAAAAATACATTTAACAGGAACGGATTCGGCCTTACTGGAGGATATAATAAATAGTGTAACACACAGATCTTTTATTTATAAACAGATAGGAAATTTCTGATGACGAGTGGCTCATCAGCCGTTTTAAGGAAAAATAATTTTTTAGTTTGGCACTGCTGCGCTCTGGGAGCACGACGCAGCGAGCCGCGTGTGCCACGCTTGAACGTGCAGCAGCAGCAACTGAACTGGGGTACCACAGGAGCTTTCCAGAGGGAGCTGGCAGACCCATCGGGACTGTGTCAGTCCAGTCCACCCAAAGCTGAGTCATGACCAATGGAATCATCTCATCCATATGATTCTGAAAGCTGAGTTATRGTCGCGCTCTGGAGCGCGCACCCTAGCCAGCAGTGGAGATATTTCATAYTTGGCGTTTACACTGTTGTAGATTTCTCCAAAATGACACGTGGAAGTACACTTTACAACTTGTGAAAATGCTGTAAGTAGGAGAGCAAAAGCTTGACAGACAAACTGCGCGCAAAGGCTGCGGCGCGCGCAGCGTTTGTGGAGACTCTCCAACATCACGTCACGTCATGTGAACTCTACTGAGACACAGACTCGTTTCTTCATATCAGCTTTGAAATAAACTAAGATCTATGTTCTACCAAACATTTAAGTTCCTCTGTATTTACAGTAATTATGGCAATAAACTCGTGCGCAAAGTTAATATTTTCAGACTCAGAATGGACGGATGAGCCGGTTGCGCAACACAGCAGTGTGCACACAATCGCTTGTTCTTTGCGTGATAAACATTTAATTCTATTTTTACTTAGGATTTTTTTCTCACTCACATTATATTTTATTCATTATTTTTATGACTCTAGAAATCATTTCTGATTGCGCAGGGATCACTCAAATGTGTACTTCACACACCCTTCAGACATTTAGCGGTATCTTGACCTTCAAAATACTGTAATTTACACAAAAAAAATCCATGTTGCTCATATGCCGGAGGCTGAAAACAATCATTTGGCTGCAGGGACAGGCAGAACGTGGGGTGGAGATAACAGCGACTGCAGCGCAGAGAAGCTGGCAGGGGAGGACAGGGAGTAGTGGAGAACTTATTTATACCAATTTCTAGTGGCAGAGCAGATCGGGAGGTGCTTGTTTAATATTGTTTGTTTGTTTGTTTGTTTGTTTGTTTGTTTGTTTGTTTGTTTGTTTGTTTGTTTGTTTGTTTTACATTCTACAGGCTCTGATATGTAACATAATTTGAAGTTGAGTTTTTAATAAAATCTGAGGTTTGTAAAAAATCTCAGATTGCCCTATACGTTTACCTGCATATGGTGGAAAATCCAAGTAATTAATAATCTGTACAACTTGACATGTTTGATGATAGGTACCACCGCAGTCAAAATAGTGATGGGCTYCCTCCTGTGGCTTAATGATGAACTGCATGCATGATTCTTGATAAGAGAGAGGAACGTTTTTAAGAAATCAATTTTATGGCCCCTAAAAAACCTTACAACCCCACTGTGGGTTGGGATCCTGACTTTGGGAATGAATGGTCTAGACTCTTTAGAGACTCTAATCGACATTGAATGAGTTTTCTTCAACAGTGGCTTTCTCTTTGAAATAGCTCAGGAAACAGCTGTGTGCTCAGTCTCTCCCATCTCACCTGTTCAAGCTGGTAACTCCTTCAGAATGCTTATTGACAACTCTTAAAAGCTCTTTWTGGTCCAACCAAACTGCTGAAATCAGCTCTCATTGTATTTACATGATGAAAATCGCATCATTCTGTTCGCATCTTCAAATCTGCCGTCCCTACTTGCCACAACTTGCCCCTCCACATAAGAACTTACTGTTTGATTGGTCATAAGTTTGTGGATGTGTTTGTTTGTTGTTGCTGAAAGTGCTTGGATGCTGCTGGCGACTGTTGTAACCTGAAGCAGACCCCGTGCAGTGATGTGTGCCGCAGGAAGAGGGATTTCCCAGGAGCTCGGCGCGGTGTGTCTCAGGGGCTGGGAAAGGTGTGTGCGAAAACGAACACTGAACAACCACATAACCGTGTGTCAACTGTTTTACATCAGATGGAGTATGTGAAGACATTTACTATTCCCTTTCTTGCACAGTCACTCTGTGAATATGACCTGCTCTGGGTAGATTTACACGTCTCATGTTTTTCATTTCTTTATCGTGGATTTAACAGAACTCCTGAGGATGCTTAGAACCTTGACAGTCCTTCTGACTTGTACTTTTTAATAATTTTTTCTCTAAACTGAATTAGAACAGTCACTTTAAAGGAGTTAATATTTATGCAATCACCYAATTTACATTACAATTTTTTTATTTAATTGATATTACCCTGTAGAAATTGGAATACAATTTTGTTGTAAAAAAGGCCAATTTATATTGATCATGACTGAKTTATGACAGCAATAAAACATCCAAGGGCGTGAACACTTCATAGGCACTGTAAATAAGTAGCTGGGACAGATTGTTTTAAATATTGCAGAGACTTAAATAATAATTTCTTCAGTGTTTCTTGGAAATGTAAAACTCAACCATTTGTGTGCCAGGCGTAAATAAAATACTGTCCTGGCATTGGTTAAAGAGAGGCTAATACAGTAGTAACAACAAAATAACAAAAGAAAAAGTGATGTTTATATGCCTACCAGCCACCATGGCTTCACAGCTTTATGTGTAGAGGTGGCTTGACTGAAAGGTGGCAGGAGTTCCTCTTGGTCCRCAGTTTGGCCCAGTGTCACTGTGAAGTTTAAAGCTTGAAGAAGTGGACACATGTTTGAAGAGCAGCATAAACTACTGGCAGGGTCTGTCCAAACACTTTGAACAATTCTCTTCATTCTGTCATCCGACCATCCGACTGGACCTTTGTTCAGATTAGTGATTTCAGAGATTAGTCTCGTCCCATGTTGGGTCATTCATGTTCTTTAGAACTCTCCTGACAATCCTCTCCAGATCTTTTCTTGCTCGCTGCTCTTCTTCCAGGGTCCTTTTTATCCTCTTGTTGTCCTGAAAAAAAAAGTGTAATGAAAAATGAACAAAAACTAGAACTGCTGAGCAGTTATGGCTGGAGTCCAAGCCAGTGGCGGCTGGTCAACAGGGGGCGCTGG